TATCCCGCCATAGATGCGGACCAGCAGGACGCACCTACATTCACATCGCAATCCACTGTATCTTTGTTCTCAGTTCACATTGAACCTTTTCCCGGGTGCCCTCGGGCCCTCGGGTGTTTTGCTGTTCCAGTCGCACTGCAGACTGCTTTCTAGCCGCTGCCTGCTTCTTTGGTGCCACGCGGACAGCAGACTTGCCATTGGCGTAGGACTGAAATGTGTAGCGATTCATGTTGACCTGGAGGTGTCACAAGCAGAGAGGTCGTGTGGCACGAAGGGCAACCAAACATTCAAAGCAATCGGGTTCAACCCAGGCGAACACGTGCTAAGCAGAACAAAAATAGAATGCAGAATGAGTGTTTGAACCTACACCACCATACGCCGTATGCTATTCGGTTGGAGGCCATCGCTACTACGATGGAGGCCATCCCTACTAGGATGGAGGCCCTCGCTATTAGGTTGGAGGCCATTGCTATTAAATTAGTGTTGAACCTACGCTCCATACGCCAAGTTGCAAATTCTCCCGCCTTGTCCGTCTGCATGAAGCAGCTCTTCACCTTGGCACTATCAACGAAAGGATGCAGCTGAGAATGACACTCCATGAGGTTCGCGAATGTGTGATTGAGTGTGTTGTTCAAATGTGTACGTATACTGAGAAAGTTTCTGATTAAAGAGCGATCATCACATGCATCTCACATCTTCCTTGCCTCAGGTGAGTTGTAGACTGCTTCCACATTTGGCAGGTAAGCCTTCCCAGCGAAATCAAGTATTTACAAACTACAGTTGCAAGCTCCATTCGACAGAATTCAACTAAAGATCTACAATGGTCTCAAAGCAGCTTTGGTGTTTCTTCCCTGCTTGGGAGCAGTGCAGGTGACAAAAGGACACAAAACAAGTCGATGCGGCACTGACAATCTTTTCATGTGCCAAAGCAAAGGGGGCAAAGGAACCCGGTCCGATTGAATCATGAGGCATGCAAATCACAACGGAGGTGGGTAGTGATACACAGCACAAAGTTCTGTCCTCTAATATGCATCTGAGTCTGCAGATGTGCAAGATCTCATTGCTCCCCAAGCCACAACAGTCAAAGGATTATATAAAATTAAAGCTAAAAGAACAAACATGTGACATGAGCTACTTTGGATTTGATGTACAAGTAAGGAAACATTGACATCAATCCGCCACTCAAGATACACAGGAAGAGATCAGCATGCAAGCCACACATGTTCTACATAATTTGACAAGTTTGACAAATCTAGCAAATGTTTGCAAATACTGCGATATACTACGATCACATCCAGTGTGAAAGAATACATGCTTAGCATACAAATATCTCAGAATCTCCGGCATAGTTGGCATGCTCTTTATTAAAGCATCTTAAATGGGAGAAACGGTGGGTGCGACCCCCGATACTCTTTTCTGCTTTCAGCCTTCAGCAAATTTCTGCAGCGGTTCACTAACATGTATGTCTCATTCTTCTAAACAGCTACTTTCGACGCCTGAATGAAAGCACTGGGCACAGCTGCCAGCAAGTCCTGTCCAAATCAGATCATCACTTGCACAGAACGCTCAGATCAAGAATGAACCTCTCAACAGAGGGTGGCCTGCCAAAGACTTAAGAGAGAAACCTGATTCCTGATTGCAACACAATGCCTTTAATGAGTAACTTGTCCACGCAGCTGAGAGGAATTGAGCTTAGCGGCTTAGCCATTTTTGAGGGCGTCGCTGTGGCTCATGAAATCAATATCGCATTCTTCAGTTTTCTTGTCAATCGGCGCACAGATGCGCACAGTAAAAACGACTAGAAAATCGGTGGGCGCTCCCCAATCTTCCGCTGTTGTGGCATGTATAGTATCTCGTCATCGTCTATATGGATCAGCCTTAGCTGCTGTAAGGAAACCAAGCCAAAGGCATCCAAAGGCTGCTGGAAACATTGTCGTCCTCTGCTGCCTTGATTCCTGTCTACAAGAGTAGGACAAGGCTAAGACTTCTACCAATCAATACCCATCTCATCGCAAGCTTGCTTGGCTTTGGCCATCATGGCAACTTGCCGAGCCTGCATGTCACTGTTCAGACATTTTCACGCAACGTGCATAAGAAACCAGAAAGCGTTGCCTGTAAATCTGTGTAATCATCTGGAGGTCGTGAGTCAGCAGAGACTCCAACTTAGAATCATAGACTTCAGGTGAGGATCCATCAGCTCAGTCTCACAATGTCCCGTCCAAAGCTGGGGCAGGAACGAAGACTTGCCATATTGGACTCCCAATGCGTGACCTGCCGATTTTGTCAAGTCAAGAAAACCTCCCTGAGTCACCCCGAGTCTACAAGTTTACTTGATGAGCCTTAGCCAAAGCCATCTGCAAATGAGAATGTGTCTGAATGTGTAGTACCCCTGTGAAAGCCCTCCCTAAGAAGCAAAGCGAGCAAAGCTGTTAGAGCAATTCTGTATGGGTCTGTATGGGCAACAGCCCCGCAATTGTTTTTAAACGGTTGGTCCCCCCGAGAACAGCGTCAACAGCCCATAGCGTGTCATGCCATGTCATGCCCACCATGCTTGCACCGCTTGCGCCTTGGCCTGTTCCTCTGCTGACAACTGCCGAATGGTCTTCGCAGTCTCAGGAGAATCCTGGCGGTCAACTTTTTACAGTATTCCCTGGACTTGATGCTCGAGCCATGTCCCGTTATCCAAGCGTTTCTCCATGTTTCTCCTGGGTATTGACTCCATCTCTTCAGTTGCCTTTGTGTGTTCAATGCTGACCCTTCCACCACGTGGTTGACACATACAAAACAGTCCTCTGACTTGACGAAGATATGATCGACCTCAGAACTACTCAGGGGATTGCGGAGCAGTACTTGCACCGGGAGCTCTTGGGATTTGACTCCAGCATGGCGTAGGTGGTACCTGTGCAGAAATGGAAAGCTCAGCGCTTGCTGACTTTGCTAGAAGTATGAATGCGCCCGGCCTGAGCCAATTCTTAAGGTCTGGAGGATGGCGGCTCAGAGTGACCTGGCCACAACTCACAGCGGCTTCTCCGGCACTTGATACCCTCTGTCGGCAACCCAATTTCTACAGATTGCTACGAAAGCGAACATGCAGTGAAACCGTCTGTGTATCGCATGGCCTCGAAATCTACCATCAATGACCATGACTTTGAACGTCAGTACATGGGATTGCTGCAATGGCGCCACGACAGTGTTATTCGAAGTGCCACCACGAAGCGACCATGTTACGACGCAAATGGAGACAGCCCAGCAAATTGCAACTCTACCGACTCTATCAAGCCCCACTTGATCATACAAGTCGCAAGACCTGTACCAAGATTGCCATGTACAAGGCTTCCATGTCAAGGAAAGAAAGACATGGAAGAGTGGCGATGGCAGCACGAGCACTTTGAGGACGCTGTCCTGTGACCTGGGTGGATTGGCGACGCCAGGCCTCCTGCTCCAATTCTCCACCAAAACCATCCCAAGCTCTGAATCCCAAGAAAGCAAACTGTTGCAAACGACATTCTGACAAAGACTAAGGCACTCACTGCACACCAGCATTCCTGCATTCAACCAATCACCGTGATGGGACATGCAGCGCCACAAGATAAAAATCTCTCCTTCCGCCGATTGAATGCTGGATCCTAGGCGATGTTCGTCGAAAGAAGCCCCGATCGTCCAGAGCCAGCGGATTAATTACAACCTAATAGCAATGGCTAGGAATGGCCTCCAACCTACTATCGACGGCCTCTTTTTTTTGTCGGAGACATACAGAGTCATACATGTTCTTCGATTCCTGGTACTCTCCGTTCATCTCCGTTCTCAATGTATCATCTCCGAAGCTAAACCGCTTTGGATCCCGGCTCCAGAAAAAAGTCTGCACATCACACGTCCTGTAGACAAAACAACTTAGACATACTTAGACACTATCCTGCTGGATGGCCAGATTTGCTCAGGTGCAGACACTGAGCCTGCCACCCCCTGCGCAACCTCAACGCTTCGTTTTGGCATGTTTATGGCACGTTTAGGCTGTGACTCTTCCGGGAAACGTTGTCACATTGATAGTGTTTCGCTTTCAGTAGGCTACGTGGCATGAAAGCCAACATGTTACACATGCAAAGTTCTTATTAGTACGTACAGCGAATCAAAGAATCCAAGCAAGCAACCCAACGATCTCCTTCACCAAAGCGGAGCAGCCCACTGCATGAGCACTCAGAGCCTGAAACTGTGAAGCCATGTGAAACCATGTGCAAGCCATCGATGCAACGCTCAATGTGGACTTGAAATCAATCTCCCAATTTGGGATGCCTTCAGTTGCACAATGTTCCCACAGGACTCCCAATTCTTCGACCTGGCAGACGTGTTCCCCGCCGAGGTGACTATGTCGCGAAACTCTCACTGTTCGTGCCCGAGCGACGGTCTTGGAGGCACTGTGTGACCCACTCCTGCAAGCGTCAAACCAGGCTTTGAGAAACGGGACTTGCCAAGAAAGAGGATCAGGCCCAAAGAAGAATGTCTCTGAGTAAATAGTAATGTATATCTGCATATCTTAATCAATCCGCAAATCTCTCATCACTTACTTTTTGCTTTCACTAGTTACGTTACTCTGGCACTTGCCTCAGCTTGCTGGCAAATGCAGGACACGCAAAGAACAATAGGACCTGAGGCGAATTATGACCACAAAAGACCATGGCCAGCAACAGTTGTTGTTGGAATTCATCGGCTAAACAGCTAAACGTCCAAGATGCAAAGCGGCTACCCAGCAGTTGGGCCAAAGACATACAGCACTCCTGCAGGCTACAAGCGCCAAGCCATGCAGAGCCGGTCCTTGAAAAGAAGGAACCGCCTGTCGGCTACGTTGTGAGCGGAGCGCTGCCCACCCGAGCTTCACATTGAGCCAGGGGGCTCGCGACTATCAAAAAGCTTCAGCTAACTCCATGGCTTCAAGACTGAACGGATGGTCATTAAGTCAAAAGATATCAAAAGTAGATCTACATGTCCAACTACAAATCCTTTTTGTCAGTTGCTGCAGACAGGCGGCGAAGCTGTGCTTGGTGCGCCAGTACAAGCAACCGACTACAGCTCATCCAAACGGATAGTGGTGTCGAGGGCGGTGCTTCCTGAATGCATGATCAAATCAAGATCTTCGTCTAAAAAACTGCCGCATTCAAGAAGAAAGAATTAAAGTAGCTGTTGCATTTGCTTGTCCTGTCGTACGCAAGCTGAAACTTGTCCAGGAGGTCCGATGTATTTGAACAGACCTGTCGGCATGCAGGGATTTGCGGCAAACTCAGGACCGCGATTCCACCTTGGTGAGCGTGGCCAGCAAAACGACCAGCGTGGCATCATTGAATTCACCGCAAAACTCCTGCCAAAAGAGTTTGGCTGCGTGGTCATATCCAATACGACCCGAGAAACATAGAGAATAAATGTGAGCGAATTCACTGCAGTACGCGGCGGCCTGTTTCAGCGAAGACGGGTGGACAGACTGCAAGGCCTATCAAGGTCCATGTGTCAAGCACCCAGCAAAGTAATGTGAACATCAAGGAGCTGGTTGGAGGCCATCGCTACTAGGGTGAAGGTCATCGCTCTTAAGGAGCTCCCAGTTGAATTCTCAGGCCGGGCCTGGCAAATCGACAGGGTTTGCCGCAAAACCTCCTGATTCTTCGGCGCGCGGCCTTCCTGAAGCAGGCTCGAGACAACTCAAAGATGACTGGCCTAACTGGCCACCCCTTAATTCTGCAAGTCGTCGTTGCTAGGGAATACTAGGTAACCTGAGTCAACTCCATGTCTGTTCACTGAACCGCCAACACCGATCAACATACAGTCCAGAATAGGGTGTATCTATATATTTAATATTATATATATTAAGTATTACAAATCGTTAATGTACTCTCATATGACCATCTTTCAGCGGCTCCTTCACATCTTTCATGTGCTCCAAAAGCTCTTTGACCCGATTGCTCAGCATTACCTGGTGGATGGGAGTCGTGTCCCCTGGACACGACTCCCGTCCCAGCTTCTGGTCCAGTCCTCCCGTCCTCTGTAGCGATGCCGTTTGTTACTAGTAGCTTCTTGTTACTACTAGTAAGGCACCTGTTCCTAGTAGCGTGGCACTTGTTACTAGTAGCTTCTTGTTCCTGGCATTAAGAATGCTCCTAGTAGCGAGGCCAGGAGCCCCTAGTAGCGTCCTTGCTCCTGGATCCAAAAACTGAGGATCCAACTACAGAGTTTGACAGGCCGCTGGTGTGCTGAGTAAAGTCAGAGGAGTAGCCTGGACACGTGTGGCTCCAATTCGGGGTTAAGGAACACCAATATACACCAACCAATGTTTTATTGCACGTGGCAAATTTCATCTGGCAGCCTGTCTTCAGCTCTCGTTGTCCCTTGTTAAGTTTCATATCAATTGTTTGCAGTATATGCACTAGAGGGGGCCTCTGTAGGATACAAACGTATACAAAACATGATTCATTGAGCTGCCTGAAGCAGCAGTCGTAGCAGACTTGGCTACATGATTCACCTGCAAAATGAAGCAGCAAGTACTGTAGCAAGTTGCATTGATTCACTGCATGCTGCAATCACTACAACACATGCAAAGAGTACAGCTATTCGTTCTGCTTCAAGAGTATCGATGATGTAGGGGACCTGGCATCAAAAAGCATTGAGGTTGGCGCTAAGCTAGTCTGCAGTCAGAATCAAGGTCAAATTTGAACATTTCCAGAAAGCATGTCCAGTCTCCAGCGGCCTCATTCCAAGTCACAGTGGCTTCTCCCTGCTCTATGTGGATTGTAGCATCGTAAACCTGCAATGCCCGTGACATATTTCACCACTGTTCAGGCCCACGAAACACGTAGTACGTTTCAAGAAAGCCTCAACTCATCCGATGCAACGAAAATAAGTATCAAGCGCATATTATCATGATACAGCTCTAAACTCTTAACTCCGAGCTGTTCCTGGGGCACTTTTGGCATCACTACTTTTGCAAAAAGCACGGAAGCCTTCACCGGAAGCTCCTCTGACTGGGAGGCCTGGCAAAGAAAACTACTGCAAATCAAATCCGACATACAGGAAAGCTTGTTGCACCAAGGATAAATAAACGTTGAAAAGATGGGTGCTTGACAAGAAATATGTTCTTGGCATTGGGTTGAATCCTTTTGCCGCGCCTTTTCCCGGGACATCTTGTCAGCATCTACCAGGAGAGCAAATGGATTCTCGTTAGCACCCACCTCGAGTTGCATCAAGTGCAGTTCGGGTCCAAAACCCCTAACAGCTTTCAGTCCGAGGCCTCCTGAATCTTCTTGTGAAGAGCTTTGTCAGCCTCTTCAGGTTGAGGGCCCGTTGAATACCATCCTTGGAGCTTCAAAAGGGAAAATTGTTTTTCTGCACCTGTCATGATGAGGGTCCATGCTCCAACTGCTGAGGCAGACTCCAAGAAATTCATATCTTGGAAAAACCTGCCAGCACACAGCGGTTGGAAAGCCTAGGTCTAGGTCGCCTAGGCCCTAGGCTACCTAGGCTCATGCTGCCAAGAAATTGACCAACCTCCAAGTATTGGGACAACCGCTGCTGGAAGAACTCCAGGTCAAGCGTCCTCCCAAGCCAAATGCCAATGACCAAGGTCTTGTGCAAACCTGGCTCTGGTGGCCCTAGCTGAGATTGGCACCGTTGGCCCCCGGACTCCAAACAGACCAGTTCAAAGGAGTTGTGCACATCTACACGCCTGCAGTTCCCCACTTCAACTCAGAAAATGTTGAATGGTCACAGCATTGATGGATACAAATGGAAATTCTCCCGGCAATCCAAGGGGTCACTAAAAGCCTTTATCTTTCATGAGTCCAAGTTGCCTGCCCTCCTGTGCTCCCAGCAGCGCTCCAAGGACGCGCTCGGACCTGCAATTTGCATTTCGACACATGTGGACACGTGTGAACGCCAGAAATGGAGAAATGGCGGAGCTCTGTAGGGCTATATACTATCTATATATATATATGTATATTTCGACAACCTACTGCTCAACCCTTGGAAAATGTTTCAACCTTCGGAGAAACCTCCAAAATCAACCTCACCTCCTCTTCAACCTTCTGTATGTCAATCATTTTACATAATTCTACTCTTTCTCAGACCTCCGAAATCCTCAGGGTCCCGCCGTCTTGCGCTGCGAAAGCGGACAACATGGTCCGAGATATTGATGAGAACCTAGAGAGCTCGAGAGAACCAGAAGTCCACCTAACCGAGAGATACCAAGAGTAAAGAAAACGTGACTTTCTTGGCCGGAATGAGCTTGTGACCAGTAGGCTTTAGCTTGTAACTTGTAACCTTTAATTTGCCTCTTGGATCTTCGTGGGGCTTGAGGTCAGGACCAAAGGATGGAGGTGAACATCCAGTCCAGCAGCTGCAGCCATAGCTGTCCGGAGATTTCGGAAGGTGACAGGCACTGACTAGATCCGCTTGTAATTAATTGTTGCGTTCTGTTCTTATTTATGGCGGCTTCTCCCGAGAGTAGCAACACCGATTGTCTCAATTTCTCTCAACCTCCAACTTAAATTGTGTGTTTGGGCACCTCCTGATCAACATGGCTGCTTTTGGCAATGCGTGTCAGCCACGTGTAAAGTGAGCTAAGTGAGCCAAAGCTTGTGAAGCAATTCCAGGCGACACTTGCTTCTTGATGGCGAGAGCCCTGCATAATCTGCTTCTAAACTGTGTCAACATGAGCTAGGATTTTGTAGGAGCAAGGACGCTGCTAGGGGCTCCTGGCCTTACTACTAGGAGCAAGGACGCTACTAGAGGCTCCTGGCATCGCACTAGGAGCAAGGACGCCACTAGGGGCTCCTGTATTTTCATGCTGCGAAGGTCTCACACATTTTCTTTTGGCCTCACAGCTCTGCTCTCCCATCACCTGGTCTGAGTGAGGGGCTCACATGTTCGAGCGTGGATAGATTAAACATGTCGGGCATAAAAACTGGGTGTTTAGCCTTGCTTTGGAGACACAAAAGGTGTTGCAAGACACTTTGCAACGAGAATCTCAGGAACAAGAGCAAGGATATAATGCGCACATAGGATTAAGTAACCACCCCCTATTAATCAATCCCAGCTCGACCCCTCCAATACTAAACTAATTGAAAACCTAGATTTCCACCTTGGCATCACCCTAATAATGTTTTCCTGTGCAGAAACCTCCCCCTATTAATCAATCCCAGCTGCCCCGAAAAAAAAAAAAAAAAAACATATTGTTCACTACTTATTTATAGTTCTTTTATATTACATTCTTGTAGCTAGTCTCCAATATATTTTATATGTTTTAATGTTTTTAAGTTTTGGCTAGTATTCAATATCTTCATCTCCTCATCTTCCTGATTCTCACCACCACCTCTCAACTACTCATCCTGCTCACCAATCCTTTTGATGGCTTCTCCTCATAGGTCTCATGCTACCAACCCTCCCCCAAAACCCAAAAAACTCTCTAGCAAATTTTCCCTTATTAAAACTCTATCAAAATCTTAACTTTTTCAAGCTCACAAAGGGTACCTACCCATCACAGAGGCCCTACCCCCCCCCCCAATAGTAGGACCACCCCCCCCAATAAATCAATCCCAGCTGCCCCAGAAAAAAATATAGTATACTTTGTATGTGCAATTCTTTATTGTTTTCTTTTTTGCTAGTATTCAATATCTTAATCTCCTCATCTTCCTGATTCTCACCACCCATTCCATCTTCCTCATCAGTTCACATCCTATCCCATAAGCTCATTCCCCTTCATCCCAACTCTTCCAAATACTAATTCCCGTTCATCTCAATTCTTCCAAATACTCATTCCCTTTCATCCCAACTCTTCCAAATACTAATTCACTGTCATCTCAATTCTTCCAAATATATACTCATTCCCTTTCATCCCAACTCTTCCAAATACTAATTCCCGTTCATCTCATTCTTCCAAATACTCATTCCCTTTCATCCCAACTCTTCCAAATACTAATGTCCTTTCATCGCAATTCTTCCAAATACTAATTCCCTTTCAGCCCAATTCTTCCAAATACTAGTTCCCTTTCATTCCAATTCTTCCAAATCAAATTCCCTTTCATCATCAGGTCATCAGCTTTATTAGGGGGATGTGATCTCCAAAACCTCCAATCTCAAACCTTGTTGACCTTGAAGGGGAGGGGGGGGGGGGCCGTTGATTAATCCTACGTCGACATTAGGGGAGTGACTGAACAGCGCCACAAAAGAAGGGGGAAGCAGCACAATCGAACTATTACTTCAAAGCTACGAAAGCCATGTCTTCCTGCCATTTAATTTGACCCTCCCACCATGCAAGGTGAACTAAACCACAAATAAGATGAGCCCGAATATTTACAGTAAGTAAACGTAACCTTTCTTGGTTTGTGACGGCAGCTGTCTCGCTTTCGTTGAACATGTCGCCTGTGCCAGCTTGAAGGCGCAGCGTGAACTCAGGGCCTGCGGCACCAGTGACCTGCAAAAAGGGCTCCTTCAAGTTATTTGAAGACATTTATCCTGCATGGCGATGTGATGCCAGATGTCTTCCGACGAGCACCAACTTCAGCAATTAATTGAAAACCACTTTGCCGGAACATGTCTGAACATCAGCCGGTGCGCCTTTGCTGGACCATGACGCACCGACAGCTGCAACTTGGCAAGGCCTTTGCTTGTTGGCACTGGTTCCAAGAGGCCTCCCAACCATCGACAACGGCCACAACATATTTTGGGCCGGAACCTGGTGCCCGACAGAATCATTTTTTTGTGTGCAAGAACTCAGAACTCTACTATTATTGGTATCAAGAACAGCTAAAGAGTGTCCAAGTCGTTCCTGTCAATAACATGTGCCATTCCATCCCAATTTTCAGTTCTGTATAGAAACTTGGTGTACACAAACTCAACTCTGGCAGGCCTGGATCTGTGTCAGGCTGGGCGACTACCTGCACCTCGCCAATTTATCTCAAAACGCAGCACCAACTGTTCGGCTGAGGATCGCACATAATGAGGCCAAGTCAAATCGCGGCCCAAATAACGGCCTAGGTCATCACAGGTCGAAACGGTCGTGAGTCGAATCCCGTGCTGTCTGGGAGCTGTCTGCGCTGAGTCGCCTTGGACCAGAGAAAACCTGAGGATTTCAGCGGAAGGACTTGTTGCACACAGCGGTGGCACAATACAGCCGAGTTACAGCCCAACGCGCAACAATGGCATGAACCAAACCCTCCTCTTCAACGCGTAGCTCCAAACCAAAGTTCTCCTTCAGCTGTCTTGACACGAAGAATTAAGAAGGCCATGCCTTAAGTGTAAAATTTCCTCGCATCTGGTCTCAACATCCTACAATTGCATTTGGCATAGCAACATTAGCAACATGCATTTCACATGCCCCAAGAAACACTTTTTCGGGCTTCCTTGGCAGGAAGTCCATGAGGCCACGTGTTGAGGTCCACATGGTAAACACATTTGGGCGCAGAAAGCCACCTGCTGTAGACAAGAAAAACAAAATTGCCGTTCAAACTGCGCTGCTCTGAACACCTTTAGGCTTTAGGTTTGTGTGACTTCATAACAGCCGGAACGCTTGCCTGAAACGCAAAGATGAGCGTGATCCCAACCACTTTGTGTAGGGAACCTCGGAGTCTGAAAATAAATTTCATGAGATTTCAGGACAAGGTGCAGATTGCTGCAGGTCCCTGGCCAGTTGACTTAGAACACCTTGCTTTCTCGCCTGCATACATTCCAAGTATACATGCTTTTGTGAAACGTATACTTGGTTGAGTTTGCACAAATATTTATTGTATATATATATATATATCACAGACATCCCAGTTCATGCTACTCGCACTGCGTTTCTTTTTCTCGCTCTCATTCACCATTTCCCTGTGGTCTCAAACAACCCTTCTCCTGGGGATAATGCGTTGGTAAGTTCCTGTCACCAGGAACCTCCACCCTGGTTGCCCCATCCTCCAGTCCAAGGATGTAACACGCAACCAGGTTCGCTCCCACTGCATTTCCCCAGCGCATTTTTAAAAGAAATTCTCCCAGCCGAACCACGGCTCGTAACGGGAGATGCCACAAGATCATATAGGGAAGTGCGCGAGAGCACTGGAAAAAAACCACTGGAACGATGCCATGCGTCCTCAGCCCAATTGGATTTGGATGGCGCCCATTCCCAGTAAATCCAACAGCGAAGCGAAAACAGCAAAAGATGGATCAGACTACTCATTCACTCAAGGTCTCCGCTAGAAGTCGGCCATTGGTCAAAGAAAGCAGGGCTGCCGTGTTGTCGATGTACCAGGTGCGTCGCCGGCCTTGAAATCTCTCAGGCGCGGGAACCAGTATAACAACTCTAAGTTGAGCGATTTTCGCATCGCCCCGTGACCACACATCTTTTAGCTCATCAAGACGCTCCTGGGACGTGGCGTGGACAAAGACCGAGAGAAAGCCACCACAGCAAAATGTAACGAACGAACGAGATCGGGGAAGGTAGCCCAAACTAAGGTCGTCACCGAGAGGGAACACAAAAGTCCGCACGCCATGGGCGCCCCGGTTCGGCGCTCGTCCTCAAAAGAGGGGAACATAATAACCCAAACTAAACCTTTTTGAACGTATGTCCTTAGGTGCCCCGGACTGCTTCAACAGGGGACAACCAAGGTGTGGCCCGTCCGATTCACCCGCTCTCCTGCGCAGCCTAGGTAGGTACCACCCCGGCCGCGCCCCAAAACTGCTCACCACTTTGCCACGGCGGGGTGAGCTCCCCCACCAGCAGCGACTCTTAGGCAGCACCTCGGGCCCTCCCACGGCCCTTCCCCTTCCCATCCTTTCCCCCCTTGCCTCCTCTACCCTTTCCGCCCGCTCCCCGGCTCCTCCCCCAGCCGCACCTCCGTCCCCGTCAGCAGCCTGCAGATGTGCCCTCGCCCATGCCCGCTTGCGTTTCTCCCCACGGGTTTTGGCACGCCACGCCAAGATACTCAGGGGCTGGTCTGCCGCTTTGGCCCGATTGGCTGCAGTCAACACCTGATTCGGTACACCACTGACGTGTTTTTTGGTGCGGTTGCCGCAGGCGGTCGAGGCGATCCTCGGTGCGCTCAACCCTCGTCCAGAGCCTGTCCAAGTTCTGCTCCAGCTGATCCACACGGGCGTCAAGTGCATTCGCCATACTGAGTCGCAAGGGCCACGGAACGGGAATGACACGCTTGATCCACGAACGGCTGTAGAGCAAGACGGGACAATCAACCCCGAAAGTAATGAGGGACAGCATCTACAAGCAACTCCTGACATATGGAAAAGTTGCATTGGTGAAGCAAAGAAGAACGCAGCATGTCCGTGTTTGTTTTGCGCGGACGAAAGTCAGGCATAGCTATGGAAGCAACAGCGCGGCGCCGCTCCACATGACTTCCCACCAGGCGTGAGACCCCCAACAAGTGAATCATCCGGCAGGAGAGAAAAGCCTCTCCGAGTCCGTATAGGGCGCCATGCAGGCACAACCACACGGATTTTCTGTGGGCCGGTCCTCTGGCGATGCCAGGCAGAGGTCACGGCATATAGCCGGCCCCGCAAGCTCAGGAGTGCAAGACCCTGATACAGCCAACAAGCAGTACCTGAGGAGCGATATCCAATTAACGAAGCAACAATGCCTCAAACCCGGCATTTAGGTTCATGATTTCGACACGAATCCCGCGTATGATAATAAACGACCCCGCAGTTACGACACGTGCGATTAGCAACTTCGGACCCTCGACACGCCTGATGGCGTCGACTCAAGTTTCTCCTGCGCCTCATCCCACACTGATGGCACTGCCCCGGCGCCGCTTCGTCCTGCCGCATGGCCGGTATCGGCGGAGCCTCCGCTGGCGCCGCTGCCTGAGCTTCGCTGCGTTGCAGCAAGCGTTGGCAATCGAATTCGTGAACCCGCAGTAAGCGAAAATTGTCAACGCGACAGCCACAGTGACGACAGGTCTGGTTGTCGGCAATCGACCCGCGCTTACGGCACCGTCGTCGACCTTGCGGCAGAGCTACACCAGGGATGTGACACTTACCCTCATGGGACCCGCAGGCCTGGGCGGCATCCGGAAAACGACGGCCGCAATGGCCACACCTCTACCATACGGAGGTCCCTGTCCTGTACCTCCCTCCACGCCTCAGGAGTCTCAGTCCCACGGGCCCATTGCGGCGACGACCATCCTTCCCGACCCCTATTGGCATACAGATCGGCAGCATCGTTCCCAACATCCCCACTATGCCCAGCCACGCGCACGAAACCTAAAGGACGAAGGCGACAACCAAGTCCGCAACCCGATGAGCAAGAGCCACATTGACCTTGGGCATAGCAACCCGAACGGCGAGGTCCCGAGCATATTCGGAATCATAATGAATAACAGCAGTGCTCGCCGAATCCCCTTCCGCCCATTCAACCCGCGGGAAAGCAACCGCAAACACGCTTCCCCAATAGCGGTCAATTCGGCAGTATTATTGGTCTTTTCTGCGGCTCCTAACCAATTATAGGGTCCCACGACTCCGTGATGACAGGCCCATACAGCAACCAATCCGGGCGAACAGGAAAGGTAGGGGGTTCAGGATAGACGACAACGGCCCAACCGGCTTGGCCATCTTTGGCCGACCCATCGGTATACAGATGGCGCGGCTCCGGCGCGCGGTCAGCGCCAGGTGCATCATCGCCGGCAGGACCACCAAATTCGGAAAAGGCGTACCAAAGGAGATCGAAGGGGACAGGCGTGTAATCTACGGTTCTCGACAGTGCGGAAGTGCTGTGAACATAACTCACAGGTGAACACCTGCGTGGTGACCAAAAGTCGGGGTGACACACAGCACGCTCTTCAATGTAATGGAACTGACGTTGGTTCCCGTGACTAAAGACCCGATCGCAGACCCAGCAAGGAAAACCCCTGTCCCAATCCCTCAACCTGAACCGCTGTGGACGGTGTCGAGTTATCAGGCAACACACGACCGTGACCAGGGCGCCAACGATCGGGAGAGTTCTTTGCCTGCCGGGACAGCTCCTGGTGAGGGAATGCGGTATGAACCAGGTGACGCCAGGCACATCGGTTTTGCGCCAGCCGGAACCAATCCCCCCGAGGGAATACCCGCCGTCCGCAAACAGCGTTCCAACCAAGACGCCTGTCCCGACCACAGATGCGCCGAGGCTAACCGACCTTTACTTTCCACCACCCAAACAATATCTGCTTAGGTCTGCGTCCGACCTTCACGCGGGCCACATGGCCTAGCCAGATGAGAGCAGCCCGCATAACCATGTCTTTAAACGGAGGCGGCCTTACGAAGCATTTCCCCAGCGATATGGTGAGTTGCCATGGTCTCCCAACGTAGCGAAAGCACCTGCGTAAACACCCTACGAGACACCGTTCCACGCGCAGAATCATCAGGTTATCCCATGAGCGCGTGCGACTGGTGAACAAGCCGTAGGGACGAGCGTCATTCCAACCGGACCCGCGACCGAAAGACCGCGATACAGCCCAGAGCGTCACTCTCTCGCATTGGCAAGCGACGGTGTAATCTGGCCCGCTCGTCTCCGTCAGACTGCCAGGCCTCTGCCCGTTGGGCCGATGTCATCACCCCTGATTACGCTGATGAGCTGGTCATGAAGGTGAACACAGGACCAGTTTGTTGCAGTTGGCCGAATACTCACTCTTGACCTCCATGGTCAGCACTCAATGATACGCTGCTTGCCAGAACTTTGCGCGATGACACAACAAGGGGTCAACCGACGTGGGACGATTGCGGATAGCCGCCAACAGCCCAGCAACGCAATCCCTGTTCAGCGTCCTTGCAAGATTGGTCCAAAACGTCTTGCCTACTCTCTCCACGATGGGGATTGGTTCCACCTCCTGCCACGTGGACATGGCCATGATATCCCCGCCGCCGGCAAGCCGTAGAGTAGAGCTCACATCAGGCCATGAGACCAACATCAGCAGCAGCTCGTGAAGCCTAAGTCACGCAGGTGGGCGGTTGCCCGTAAGGCAGTTGAGATGGACCCCTTTGCGCGTCGCCAGCGGGCGGTGGAGCTCCCGAAGTGCTCCTACCGCATGGTTGCGCCAACTGCGCATTTTACCCTGTACCGATCCGGTCAAAGATGCCGCGAATTGCAAGTCCAAATCCAGCACTGCAGCCCGCTCCGTGGGGAGGAGCTGCTGTCCGACCAGGCTTCTTGAAAGTGTCGGTCCGGGCCTAGGCCATAAGAAAAGAGAGGAGGCAGGGCCCCGCTTTCTGCGTTAGGGCTCCGGCTTGTTTACCTTCTGCGCTGCGCATCAATAGCCTTCAGCTGGCCTCTTGGAACTAGAAGCACGCTTCAGCATCCTCAAGGGTTTCAAACTTTCACATTTTGTTGAGCTTTCTTGGTGGCATCAAGTTTTGCATCTTCCAGCTCAGAAATGCATCAGCCTCACTAACTCCGTTGCCCCGGTCGTCCGATTCCTCCCGGGTCAACCTTTGTCTTCCCCGTCATTTAACGTCCATTCTTCAAGGCCAGCAGGGACTTGATGGCTTTGTTTTCCTGCGTCTATCTTTTGATCAAAAACCATCTTGCTAGCATCTATACAAGTCCTGGAACACCCTTGCTTCAAAGGCGGCGTTGGAGTAAAACGGGACCAAACCGTCGCTTTTTCTGGAGGTGAGTCATGGAGTGAGCTCAGACCGGACTTGTCGATTCGATCGTCACTTGACTCTGGATCAGGCTGATCAGACACTTGAGCGGTCATCGCTTCTTGAAACGCTGCGGAGTCACTTGAACGTAGCGCCGGCGCGGAAGCTGTACCGCTAAACAATGAAATACTGCGGTTTTCAAAAGCGAGCGCGGCCTTCAGCTCTGTAACGCAGATCAAGAGATGAGGCCTGCTCGGACAATATACCGTGTTTGCTTGGCAGCTACTAGTTGAACTGGCATGGGAAGCACCTCAGTCGATCGCTCCTGGCATCCATTGGCAAATAGATAAAGGTTGATCTGGCGCTGGACATGGGATGTTGTGGGGCTTTAGAAAAGTTTCTGGAGAAATTGCAGGGCCGAACGACAGACGATGGTTCGGCCGCATCCCAACTCAATGACCCCAGGTCCAAGGCCTGGGCTTGACACCAGCAAACAGCCAACATTAACGTTAATCACTTGGCAATGGGTCAACGCTCCACCAACGCTCTCCTCCACCAACGCGCGCTCAGAGTTCTTCAACCCATTTTACTCTTCCTTTCTGGCAACATTTGTGGCCCATGGCCAATTTGGCCACATCGATTGCAGCGGGTCTTCCGCTTTAGCTTCCCGACTTTGCCTCTGAGCGACCTTTTCGCATCCTGGGCTTGAGTGATGCGTCGAGCCTTCTGGAGGCCCTCCTGACACTAAGTCTTCCAGCTCACTACTTGAAATTTTCTTCAGCTTTTATTGCAGCTCCGGTAACGTTTTCTTTCTCACCACGAAGAAAGGAAGCATGATCTTATGAGCAGCAATCAAAGGCTTCCGAGGCCCGACTAATCCAAGCCTTCAGCGACTCACCTTCTTGAGCTTGCAACTGAAAGGTCGCCGAGGTTTTACCGACATCTCATCGGACACTTCCTTTTGAGGATAGCGAGCGTCCAGCAACTCAAAGAGGACCTTTTCACCATCCTGCGCTTGGTGCTGGGAGGCTTCGAGGTGTTCGACGTAAGTAGGCGTCGAGGTGTGCTGGGAGAGCAACGCGAACACGTAAGTAGGCACCTCGGGCTTGCCGAGGCATCTTGTCCATGCTGTTTAGCAGAGAGATTCTTTGGCATCTTCGCTTTGACTTGAAGTTATTTGAGACCTCCTTGGTCACTTCTGGTGGCACTCGCCGCGGCGCCAGGAGCCGTCCCGGAGCCTGATTGCACCGGCTTGGCTGCAACTATAAGAGTGTGAGCACTGCTTGGCTGGCCCTGCACTCTCCAACTTTTGCAACTGGGAGGCCGCCGTGCGGTCTTGCAAAGTGTCCTGGCTGGCACGCAACACAGTTTGCATGCGCCCAGACCCAACTCTACCAAAACAACGGCTTGTCTCGATTTTCTAGGGGCCTCGCGGTTCAGGAGCCCAAGGGCAAAACAAGTCAACAAATTCGTGGTCGGAGGTCCTGGAAGCACTTGATCTCCACACTGTATGTGTCAGCAAATTCAGCCAAAGCGCTTCTGCTGCTACCGCAAGCGGGCTGCTCCGGCCGATATGCTAATGCGGTCAAGTTCATGGAATACCATGTAAGTGCCCAAACCCCCAAGATCCACCAGCTGCAGCTGCACAGCGGGAAGTGTAAGAGTTACACAATCACGATTGTGCCTCCTCGTTCCATACCCTCAAATCTACCTCACAAGAGGCAGCAAATGCTATTCGCACACTGGACATCGACCGCGAGTAACAATTGAGGACAGCACCTCATGCCAGTGCCCTCCAGGTATTGAAAACATCTGTGAAAGCTCTTCGCCTAACACTGGGCAAAACGGCGAAATAGAATTGCTATATGGAACTTAATTACGTCAACATTTGGGAATGTGAACCATTGCAATTGTAGAGCTCCATGATGTCACTTTTGTGTGAAGCAAATTCTTACCCCAAAGCTTGCAGTACCTCTGCCTGAACAAATGCAACCATGTTTGAAGCACTCAGAGTCTTATACAATCTTATTATAACTCCCGCTGAGTGTCTTGCTTTCCATCAAGGCCACCTCCAAGCAGGCATGGCCAGGCACGACCAGTCCATTTGCCTGCTGGTGGCGGGGGCAGGGGATTGACCCCTAGCTTCCAAGCAGGTCAGATCGCCAGTGTTGTGTGGCCAGACTTCATGATTCATAATTCATAATCACAACCTGTTCTGTTCTCATAGGTATTTCTTCGCAAAGTCTTCAAACAGTTCCTTGCGATCCTCTTTCGGATGGGCCTCAAGCAGCTCCTTGCGGATGGATGGCAGGAGTGCAAAGGGGCTCAAGCCATGTAGGGGGGGTACCTGGTGAATTTTGACTTCAGCTTTCGACTCGACCAAAATGATTGAAACATATTAAAGGAGCGAAAAATCGGAAAGGGGAAGGACGAAAAATGCACATGTGCAGAGTTTGGACTAACAGTCTGGCCTGGAGGGTCCATGACCACAATGTTTGCGCGTTTGTTCTCAGGGAGAAGGATGTCGAACCTTCACATCCGATTCTCAGCTCGGCCTTTCCAATTGTTCAATCCACTGAGACCCTCACATTTCGCGAGGATCACCAGCTAGAACCTTCGGTACACACAAGCTCAGCATGGATTGGCCCATGTTGAATTCTAATAAGACCCTTCAAAAGCTCGTCAACTATTTCATACATGTTCATACGTTGTGCAACGACCGTGAAATCTTCAGAAGGTTTGGGGATCAAGAGAGCTCGTAAATAATATATAGGACTGCGTCATACAGCAAAAGCCCTCGTCAAAGCAAGCCTCGGCAGTATGATTTCTGGGAATGACGCTCTCCTCGGCGATTTGCCGCAAGACACCAGCAATGTGATCCCAGCCTTGGAAACTGCAGGACAGTTTCGAGCGCAAAAATTGATATTACTTGGCATCGAGGAAAGCACGAGGCATGACCAAAGACTTGATTCCAAGATTTGCGGCCCAAAAGCCTGGCCTCGGTAGAGCAATGAAATTTTGATAAATGTTGCATGTCACGAGGCGAAGTGGGGAAGTAGGTGCTAGGCTTTGATACTTGTATGTACTTGCAGTATAACATATGGCGGCAAACTGCTTGGTTTGGGACATACCAGCATTGCTGCTGCAATCCAGGAGCGTGAGATTGAGGAGCGTGAGGTTGTCTTGCTGGAGTTGTCGCACCTTCATAGCAAGAAACGCTTGGCCTGTGAATCTTTTCGGTCTGGAGTTTGCCAGGAACTGCGCTGGGATGGGATGTGAATCTGTTAAGGAGTGCATTCTTCGGCGATAAGTAGCGCACAGCTTCCTCAACTGCAAATGCCTGCCGTGGCAAGTTCAAAAGCTCCAACAAGTTTTGAGGCTGAGGGCACATGTCACATGGCTAATTGATTGCACAAAACGTGTGCAAAACGCGGGCAAGAAAAGGCATTGTGATCTATTCCGCGGGGCAACATGGATGCCGACATAGAAGTCATGTCGTTCATGATCTCCAGCAATTGGCAGCACAAACCTTGTAGTGAAAATTGCATGAAAATGCCATGGAAGAAGCATTCCACAGTGACTTGGGCTGGGATGCCTGACTCATTTGCCTCTTTCACAGCAAAGCGATCAGGGCGAAGGATCCTACTGAGGAAGAGCAAGTGATGCAACTGCTTAATATCCAATCACTGCTTAATATCACTGCTTAATTGCCTTGCATTGCCTGGATGGGGAGCTGAGGGTTGGCAGTGCGTCTTGAGATGTGAAGGTTGCACCTCGTCAGGTGCTATAAACTCTGGCGGCAAAGATATTGAAGAGCAAGACGGCAGAACACAGATAAACATGTAAAATATAGACAACAAACACATAATATTTAAAGGCGATCAAAAGCGTGGACTGCTCTTCCATTTCCCATGGGCCTCCGGACCCTGTGGTGAATGTCGAACTCGAACATTCATACTGACGCCATGCCTGCAAGCCAAGACAAGACTGGGACACGCTGCGCAAGAAACGATGATGCTCTGCGATGCTCTGCGATGCTCCGCAAAACTGGGACATGCTGCGCTATGTACTCCACAACCATCTCCAGCCACTGCCCAGCCTAGCCACCATGAGGCCAGGCCACTGACATAGGTGTGTCAGATAAATATGTAGTGACCGTGATATCACACAAAGTCTTGCATGGGCAAGTCGTGACTTTCACGCTACAACACGTAGGCCTCAACGCGTAGCTGCTGTGGCGAATCGCCAAACTGCCAGTTCTCCCCAGCAGCTTCCTAGACAAAATAGAAAAAAGAATGGAAGGGCCTTCAATATCTTCAATAAGGGCCCCTTTGAAGGAGGCCTTCCCTTTCCTTCCTTCCTTTCATCTTTCTTCTCCTCCGCAGTTGATCCAACTCCCGTTCACACCAGGAAAGTTGATTTCAGCACTTGGACGGCAAAATTGCAGCTTTGTGCAATTCGCAATTTCGTTGCCCCGACATGTCATCCGAAGCTGAGAGACATGTCCGACATGTCCTGAAGCTGCAAGAGCCACCCCCATGCAACCTGAGGAGCATTCTGGAGGTGCTGACAAACCGAGTTCCAAGAGACAAGAGACCTAAATGTCGATTTCAGCTTCCTGTTTGTTTGTTTGTTTGTTTGTTTGACAAACCTTAATTCCAAGATTCAAACATCTCCAGCAAAGTTGCGTGATCCCGGGGCAGTGCTCAGGACCTCAGAGAACCACAATTTTCAAGTGGAGTCAATGAGTCATTTGATCTTTTGTTTCAAGCGCTATACCCTGCCAAACAACACTGGCATACAAGTGCACGCCTCCTTCTTCTGCGGATCAGCCCAAATGTCCCAGTCAAATAGAACCTCAAGTGGAAATGGAATGCAAACAGGAGATATATAAAAACAAGGCACGAGGGATACGCCTTGAATATGCAAAAGTGACACGCTGCTCGTGAACAGGGACAACTTGCAACATCTACGTGACCCATCTTTCTCAAAGGTACCACTCAACTGATTTAATAAGCCGGTGCAAAGCAGACTGTTCGACTCAGCAGCTGCATGGATAACTCCAGATTTCTGCGCTTGGATCCTCAATTGTCAGAGTCAAACCATGATAGTCTTCGGTGATAGACTTCGGCCAATGAAAAACTATAAGCGCGACAAGTATCCGATAAGTACGGTTCTTTGGAATGTCGTCTGGCGACATGTGCTGTAGATCGACTTCGAGCACGCATCTCCGCTCGCTGAGCCTCTCAAGTCCGAAGTCACTGGCACCAAACATGGCCTCCCACGGGGGGGGATGCAGTGAAGCAGCAAAGTCCCACATTGAAACCTGATAGGAATTGGTCCTTTTTTAAAATGGGAACAAAATCATTAGTGCTTCTTCAAGGAAGCTTCCCCCCAGCCTTTAGGGCGGCGGGGGGAGCTTCCTTGAAGAAGCGTGAGCTCAAACTTAACCTGATGATGTCAATTCACGTTTTGTGAACATGAGTCCGTCTCCCTACGGAACCCTGCTATGCCCTGCCATGCCGTGCCTTCCAGTAGATGGTGTCTTGCAAATCTGTCAAGCGAGAAAGGTTGAAGCCTCTCCAGGGTCGAGGATGCCATGGAGATAGGTCTTGAAGTTGCACAAGGGTGGCGTATTGACAGCCACCCGCTGGGATGATGTGTCCGCTCGGCTTCAAGAGTCTCTTTCCTGGCCTCTGCTCTCCGCAAAAGAAATCGATCTCTCGACAAGAAAAACAAAGCAAACGGGGTAGGTTAAAGAGATGGAAAACGAGGGCAGCTACTCTTCGAGCACATCTAGAACATTCTTCAGTACAAGTAGAACTGTGGCTACGGGGGGGGTCAATTGCTCCAGAACGAGTCAAGGCAAAGGAATCATTCAGAATATGCCAATGCAAGCGCTAGCGACGTGCATCCGAGACAAAGGACAATGCACTCTCTCCCAAAAGCATTGTTCCAAAGGTCTCTGTCACCAAAACATCAAAGAGCTCGCTGGCGCCGGTGGTCTTCTCCAAGTGGCTCGACAGCTGAGCCAGAACTGAGATCTCGGTGTCCGGTGGCCAAAGCCCACGATTGGCCTCGACGGTCTTGTTGGCAAGTTCAGCCAGTGCCGGATTCCTTGAGTGAGAAGAGAAGAACAGCCCGGTTCGGTCAGGGGCAATGTTCGCTACTAGGGGCTCCTGGCATCGCTACTAGGAGCAAGGACGCTACTAGGGGCTCCTGGCCGTACTACTAGGAACAAGAAGCTACTAGTAACAAGTGAACGGCAGAAGCAGCATGTGTGCGTGCGTCTCTCTGATGCGTGGGTGCTCCCTAGGTTGTGAACGGCAGCAGCAACATCTCCATACTGCCGCTTCACAGTGCAATACATGGATCAGAACTGGCACCCCCTCCCAAACCTTGGAGGTTGTGGACCTCTTCATGTTCGGAATCCCAATGCTCAGTGACGTAGTTGCCTGTTCCACAAGCTTTATAACTCTGGGCACCATTGAATCTCGACACATGTCCTGTTCTTTGTAGACATGAACTATCACTATCAGTAACTCGTCACGCTAGAATACTATAGAGTTGCTGAGGGTCGCCTCCAGTGCAACGACTTGTTGAGCCCCATATTCTGCTGCCAGCATAGCCAGTAAGCCACTGCCAGCCCCCAAGTCCAAGACACGGCAGCCCGAACACCTGGCCAACAAATGCTCGAAGCCGCCAGGACTGTCAAACAAACTGCCGTTCAAACAGACAGAAACATTGCAAAAATGCAAGTCGAAGAAAGAGAGCAATCCAATCAACAGCCCTAGTAGCTTCTTGTTACTAGTAGCGATGGCCTCCAACCTACTAGCGATGGCCTCGCTTCTTGTTGCAAGATGAAAAAGAATCCTCATTTTTTGGCCTCAGACTGCTATGGTCAAATGTGTTATACGTACGCTTGCCACTGCTGCGCGATCTGCTCGGAAATGCCCCAAATTGAAACTACTCCAACTACCAGGAGCCTGGCCTCGGCATTGCGCTGGCAAGGGCGGCCCTGTAGAAGTTGTTCCGTCCGAAGTCATTCCTTATGAATACCCAAGGATTCTCCAGTGTTGCGTTTTTTCCAGAAAATCGTGGTGGTGGTCAAAGCAAACGGGAAAAAACCTATGCAAGCGACTTTGACCAAATGCCTTCATGGGTCAGCATCACATAGTGGTCAGCATAATCGAACAAAGGCTTCTTGCCAGCGCCGGCGGCATTGACCAGCAGGAGCGTAAAGCCAATGACCAGCAGCGCCATCGGCTGCGATAGTGGAGATGCTCCATCCCTCACAGCCCCTTCAAGTCTTCATTGCAACACCCTATGGGTCAGATAATTTGAAGTGATGACGTTCAACCTTGAAAGCCTAAGTGAAAGGGAAATAGTGTTTTTCAATTAGTATGTATTCGAGATTGCCGAATATATACTAGGATTCGCCTTTGAAGTGAGCTCCAACACTGCGCATAAGGCTCTCCCTTTTGGGCATATCACAGCTTTTGTCTCAGTAACAGCAGAGCTCTCACTCTGTCCGAGATGTCTGGGTCTATGCCTCTCTTCTCAAGAATTCCATCTCTCTACATCCAAGTGGCTTCTCAGAATGCACTCTAATCTCTTTGAAACGCTCAGGATCCACAAATGGGGAAGTGTCTGTGCAGCTCTTCCATGTTGGATTGTTAGACTCGCGTTGTTCAAACAGCATTTCTTTTAAGATTGGATCTCCAAAGAGAAACAGTGGGGGTTGCTTTGATAAATGCACCCTAGAATTGCTGCCACAAAAGGCAACGTTGCTTCATGCTGAAATAATTGAGTCTAACGCTGTGGATTCAAACTTCCCAAGAACGGTCTTGGTGTTGATTGATTGACAAATCATAATCCTTATCACATCTTATCACTGATCCTAGCAAAGAGTCACAGCACCAACAGCAGCTGATGCTTGTTTTGGACGCTTTTCTTTGGCTGTGCGAAGACGCACTTCACAACAGCTGCTGGAACCTCTGAGGAGCAAGTAACAAGTATACTCTGCTCACAGCAGAGCAAACAAATCTTTTGCAACATTGAAGTACCCCACAAACGTTGTTCACAACGTTCACAACACTTTGGTGGTCGCACATGGCAAATTGGCAAGTTGGATGAAGCAAGGACAAGAGTGGCTGAGCCTCTGGGCATCCCTTCTGTTTCAATGGAGTCCTGTCACCAAGCATAGCCAGGGCCTCCACCCTAATAGCGATGGCGTCCACCTACAAGCGATGGCCTC